CTGGCTTGCATCCATAGATGCTTCTCAAGCAAATCCCAGGACGTCATTCTCCCCTTGTACTCAGGCTTGGTGAGGCCGCAGCTGGAGTACTGCGTTCAGTTTTGGGCCCCACAATTCAAAAAGGATGTGGAGAAGCTTGAGAGAGTCCAGAGAAGAGCCATGCACATGATCAGAGGTCAGGAAAACAGACCTTACGATGACAGGCTGAGAGCTATGGGGCTCTTCAGCCTGGAAAAGTGCAGGCTCAGGGGTGATCTGATGGCCACCTCCAAGTTTATAAGGGGTGCTCACCAGGATCTGGGGGAATGATTGTTCACCAGAGCATCCCAAGGGATGACAAGGTTGAACGGTTATAAACTCCTGCAAGAACATTTCAGGCTGGACATAAGAAAGAATTTCTCTACTGTCTGAGCCCCCAAGGTCTGGAACAGCCTGTCATCAGAGGTGGTTCAAGCACCTACATTGAACACCTTCAAGAGAAAATTGGATGCTTATCTTGCTGGGATCCTATGACCCCAGCTGACTTTCTTTCCCTCAGGCGGGGGGGCTGGACTCAATGATCTTCCGAGGTCCCTTCCAGCCCTAATGTCTATGAAATCTAGCTCCACAGATGGTGTCAGCCCATAGCTCAGCAGGCTTACACTGATTCACAACTGAAGAGCTGGCTCTCTAGCTAATAATGACTGTACTGAGACATACAAGCCAAAGGTTTACCAACTTACAATTTGGGGAGCCCAGACTGAGAGACCATAAAGGGCTCGACTTTCAAGAAGCGCTGATCAGCAGCCACTTGCTAAAACACTGTGTCTTTTAAAGTCTCTCTCAATAAAAAAAAAACAAATACCTTTCCAAATCCTCATGCACTGGGGGAAAATGTGCAATTGTGCAAGAGTCATTTCATATATGGACATGAAATCACGTTGATGCACTTTGAGACTTGCAGCAACAGGCACATACCAGATAGCGTGCTCCACTATAAACAGTTATGTTTCACAGTGTGAAACAAAGCCCCTTTCTCTTGTAAGCTCCCCAGACCACTCCTGCTTGCCATTTGCGTCAGCACACAGAGACAGGCAGGCTGAAGTGACCTTAATTATGAACTTCCCTCGGGTGAAAGCTAACATCCCTCAGTGATGGCTACTTCAGAGTGCCTCATGTCAATAGGTGCCTCAGCTTGGTTGATTAGACCCTGGCCTCCAATCACACAGGCTGTGAATCCTCTTTCTATATTTAGGGCCCCTCATATCATTTCTGGCATGTCAAATCCTCACTCAATCACATTTCAGAAAGAGCTTTAAGTTTTGATTGAATCTCACTTACAAAAATCTTGGTCAAAATCCACATTTATAATAAGCAACTAGCTATTTGGAACGTGTTGGTATTTGGATGCCCTGTTTGAAACACCCTTGAAAGGCCTGATTTTCAGACCATAGTAAGCACCCACCCTCTGGAAAAATAAGCTTCCTTTAAAATGACTTAAGTTGGGCACCCCAAAAATTTATCAGTTGCACCTCAAAATCTCGGACAAGTTTCCTCTGCAATAGTTGAGAATGGGGACAAAAGGCCTGCGGCTTTAAATGTAATGCACCGTCCCAGCTGTGGTCTTCCTAGAGTATAGTGAAGGGCCTGCTTTGCAGAAGTGCTGCAATATTAGACTGTACTTGTTGCTGCAAGGGTTAATCACCCCCCACTGCAAGTGATGTTATTTGTTCCTCCTACCTGTCCCTCATGATATAACACACCATTTTAATTCACCTTGAAAAACAGGTAGATAAGGACTTCCTAAGCATCACCCCTACTACCATTATATGCGAGATCAGCACCGTTTTCCTTGGACTGCATCCTGGCTTCATGTGCCACACCTGAGTGAAAGGCCTTGATGCAGTGGAAGCTCTATTCATGGTCACTGGGAAAGGACTTCCTCCCTTCAAGCTGCTACTACAAACACAAGACAGCCTCTGCATATTTCTATCTAGGCACTTATATGTATTGCTTTAACATCTGTGCCCCTAGTGCCTCATGCAGCTGCTCTACTGAGATCAGCTGACTGATTCACGAAAGCACACACTAAAGGTAGAAAGAAAGCAGACTGCTGTCCTTGGAGAAGGAAGAGCTGTAAAACATAGTAACAGATTGACTACTTGGGGAATTGTTTAAGCACAGGTTGGACAAACTTGGCTGGGATGGTTTAGACAGGGCTGATCTGTCCTAAAGCTTGGGGTTACACTAGATGACCTTTTGAGGTCCTTTCTAGTCCTATCTCCATATGATTCTATTTGATGGAGGGGGAAATAAAGCCACAAGAAATTAAATGGCTAGTAGAGGCTCACAAATAGGCAACCATGAGCAAGGCAAGAACAGCACACAGATCTCTTAGTCCTGTACTTTAAACACCACACACTGAACTGGAGCTCTCTAGAAGACAGTCTAGACAGCCAAAATCTCAGATGACAGTTAGCACCAGCGTAGGTAGCCTGGAAACAGGATCAGAGATTTTTCTCTCTCTGGCAGGGCCTTTTTAGACCATGGGTAGTAACATATGGGCATTGCTGTTGACATGTAAAGGGCTTTACAGTTTGAATTTCCCAATCCAGGCCCTTTCCCCAGCACTGAAGTCACTCCCAATAACTCAAGCAAGCACAGGACAGGACAGCAACTTCCTTACCTTCTCCCTTTCCATGTTTGGAGCCCGGGAGCCAGGACACAGCCTCCACATAGCCCAACTCTCTGCACACTACGTGAGCAGAGTGGATGGAGAAGTCATCATCGCACACTGTGCCCCACTCGCCATTGTAGAACACTTCCACTCGCCCTTCATTGTGCTTCCTCTTCTGCCCTGCCAGCCGCAGCTGAATCTTGGGGACGCTGGCTGGCCACTGAGGACGTTGTTCTTGTGTGGGTTGCTCAGGGTAGCCAGAATATGGCCAGTACCCATACTGGGCAAGACCTAGCGAGCTCAGGGAACTGAAGAGGAACAGCACAACAATGCAGTGGTTATGGATGAAACCAAGGGATCTTTCCATGTTCCAAGGTCTCCGTTCTCAAAGCCAACTCCTCTCTAGCAGCTACCCTTCAGCGAGTGGCTTTCCTGAAATAAAAGAAAAAGCCAGCTTAAGTGGTAAGACATAATAAGACAAGGGGGTTTATCTATTTCTCGGAGGACAGGGCACAGCTAAGAATATGCCCAACGTTGTCAGCAGAACGAAAGCCATGTGAGATGTATTTTAGCTATTGGAAAGTTTGCTGAAAAATGCCACTTCCATCGCCTTTCCACATTTAAGTCACATTTACTGAATAGTTTCAGCTGGAAAGTATTTTTTTTTTGGAGGCAAGAGTCACACCGCTGCCAATGAATAAAAGGTGGGGCACTGCTACTGACAGCTTGTGGGTTGAAGCAGTCACCAACCAGGATGCAGAAGACGCCTTCAAAAGAGGATCTCCCACCTTCCAAAATGAATGCACCACGTGTAAATAAGAAACATTCACTACAGCAGGCACTGAACCCCAGAAATTATTGTCATTCAGACAGAAAAAACTTTTTTTTTTTTTAATTTATCCAAATGCTTCCCTCCCCTCACTCTGTTCAGCTGTTCAACTGAGCAATCTGTCATTCACCACAGGTCCTGTAGGACATATTTCCTGGTAAAATATACAAGTCATTAAATGGAGAATACACAAAACCATTATTTTGCTCTGGAGAAAGAAAAATGATGCTGAAGAAACAAGGCACTTGACTGGGATTTAAGAGCTCTGGATCCCATTCCCAGCTCTGTGGTTACATTTGGGTCAAGCCATTTTCTCTCTATGGCTCAGGTTCTTTGTCTGTAAAGCAGAGATAATGATATTTACCATCCTTGGTAAAACACTTTAAATCAGTCTCTGGCCCTCCAGGCAAAGCTGCTTCACAAGGAATGTAGGCAACCATCAACCCTTTGGATCATGGTATAAGCTTAGGAGGAGCCTGATGAATTTGCTTGTACTGAGTCCTGTGACCACCAAGACCTTTGATGTGTACACCTAGGGAAAAGTTTGGAGGAGTGGAGGTTGCCCAAGACCCAGTTGTTTCTCTGCAATTGCGGTGGCCAGGCATGTGGATGTGATAAGGTGCCCCTGGTGTTTCTGGTTTCATTCCTTGTAACTGTGCATGAGGGTTTGAAGTGGGAAGTATTAAAAATCTTGTGGGAAATGGTTGCCTGTGAACATCAGGGACTGGACTTGTTCTGCATTCTTCATGTTCCCAATCAAATAGCGCCAAAAATAGATGCCTGTCCATTCAGAACTAGGCTGAGTTCCACCATATTTCACATCCCCAACTCTCTAGATGCTTCTCCATCTCAAAGATTTAGGGAGCTAACTTCATAACATCAAAAAGCAAGGGATAGAGTATTCTCTGTTATAAAGTTGGGGGAAACTGAGGCATATACAGAAAGCTAAATGTTACACAAATCTATAGCAGAGCAGAAGAGTCAACTAAGAACTTCTGCATCTCAGTGCCTTAAATATAACGCCATTCCTCTTCCCCTTAGCCACAAAACAGCTCGTAGAAAACAGTACATTTTCTGATTTCCCAAAATGCAAGAGTTGCATTCCAGTGGGACCCAATGCAGTTTGAAGCAACTGTTTAATAGAATCTGTATTTATAATGACCAGTTCTGGATTAATCTATTTAACAGTCTGTGTGTCCAAACAGGAGTTCCAGCATTTTTCTTCTTCTCTCATCTGATCAAACGGACCATAAAAAAAATGCTAAATGCAGCATTTAAACAGTGAAAACACAGGAGGGAAGAGAAACCTGGAATAATGTGGTCAAGATGGAATACTTGTATCAAAGTTGGAGTTTTCCCAATTCCCAACATGATGACATAAGGCATACTTTCCATTACTACACATCTGGCTTCACCAGCAAAGTATGAATGTATATTACCATGCCCAGGCAGGAATACTTTTAGCGCAGACTTGCCTGACATTCTCTGGCCTATTGGTACTAACCATATGCAATCCAGCCAGTCAGCAAGTTGACTAGCTGGAAACTCAGTCGTCAAATTACTCCTGCCTTCTTATAGCAAGTGAAGGTTCAGATACTGGTCACTTAGGGTAGGAGGAGTGGATTTTCTGCTTAATGAAAAAAAAATAAAAATGGAGCCAGACATGGTGCTGAACTTAATGTCAGCTCATTTCCTGCCTCAACCCTCAAATATTCCTCTGTTTTTCATACAGCCAGCACATGGAGTGGCAAGACAGCCCACGTGAGGTCTGGTGGCTGAATGTTTTCTAAATGATGCCATGCCAGACAGCAGTGGGAAAAGCTCACCAGCTCCTTGAAGCTGTAACATTCCCCAGAGGCATGGGAAAGGGCCATCTCTAATATAGATGCTTGGAAAGAAAGATCCTTCAGTATTTCCTATGTCTCTACTACCCATAGATTACAAAGAGACAACATGACACAAGTAGAAGCCCAGTGGGCCTTGTATTTTGTAGGCTTCCAAGATGTCAAGAAAGGCAGCACTATGGCCCCGGGCATTAGCTTGGTGTTCAGCAGATTTGGATTCCATATTCATCCCTCAGACCTATGCATGTAAATCATTTGTTTAGAAGTTAAGCATCAGTGATAACGGTAGGAATGTTCCTAGTATACTTATCTTTGAATGCGAGGGGAAGGGTACCACTTGCTTTAGCTAAAGCTCAAAGCAAACTTGAGAGGAAAGGGCTGTTATATATTCATTCAAAGATAGACCAAATATCAGTCTCAAACAAGATGTGGACTTCCACTGATTTTCATAGACCAAGATTTATGCCCCGATTCTCCCATGGAATTCAGTAAGGTAGATACCTCCATATCCCTCTGATATAAGGTAGTATTACCCCCATTTCACAGATCTGAAACTGAGGAGCAGAGAAAAAAGACTTGGCTAAAGTCACCTAGGGTGTATAGCAGAGCTGGGAAGAGAATCCAGGTCTCTTGCATCCCAGGCCAGAAACCTGAAGGAATGTTTTTGTGCTTTTCTTCGGCAGGTCATTAAGTGGGAGGGGGCATTCCCAAAGAAGATACAGTCCTACTGCAGAATTCTTGTTATTTAAACACCTTTTTACACAAGTCTCATAGGATGATGTTATATGCTGCTCTCACTGATTTCTCAGTGTTATGCTGCTCTCCATAATGACAGCTCAACATTTTGTCATGGGTTCAAGATGATCTTTATTCCCCTGAAGATTGAATATTTAAAAGAACAAAAATGTCCTTTATAATCCATTAGACCATCCTGACAGGAAAGGCACATCCTAGGCAAAACTATGGTGGGGCAGGAGGAAAGCACTTTGCCTTATGCTTTCAGAACAGGTACAACAAACAGAAAGCTTTAGGGCACCACTCCATTGTGTTACTACAGATTTGTGCCAGTGTAGCACACCAGGTGTTCGAGCTTACTGGACTTGCAAGAATCTTTCTACTTTCTCTGCCACATGATTTGAATTAGTTTGTATTTGGTTGGATGTCACTTCTAACGGATGTGTAAATTGGATGCTGGAAACAAACTGAATACTAGGCCTGTGCGAGCCGGATCGGATTGCTGCTGACTTCGGAGCCGGCTGCTTCGGATGGCCGTGATCTGATCCGGAGCTCCAAACTGCGTTTCCGCCTCAATCCAGCCGAAGTGGCTCCAAAGCTTTGGAGCTGCCTTGGAGATCCAGCCATAGGGTATAAGGGGAGCAATAAAATAGCTATAACTTTGTTTTTTGTCCTATTTGGATGAACATTTCAGGGATGGTAGACTCTGCAGAGGATGAAGTCTGCCAAGTTTTGAGAAGATTGGCGCAGGGGTTTGGGAGGAACAGCATCCCAAATTCGTGAAACCCAAACTAATGCCACAGCTGTGTTACACCACGGGGGGGGGGATCGTCAAAACTGCAGGGCTGGTAGCTCTTACTGAGGCCACAAAGCCTGCCAAGTTTCAAGGAGATCGGAGCAGGGGTTTGGGGGGAACTGCCCCTCAGGCTGTGGACAAGCAAAACTTGTGCCATGGGTGACACTGCGTGTGCCAAGGCGCAGCAGGGTGACAGCTGCAGGGATGGTGGCCACAACGCCCGCCAGCTGTGGAGATCGGTGCAGGGGGGTTCTGGGGCCCTGCACCCCTAGCTGCTGCCAGGTAAAACTCCTGCCAAGACTGTGTCGGTCTTGGGGCAGTTGATTGTCTGTATTGAGTCTTTCCTCTCCTTAGCCTGGTTTTGTAGGTGCTAATTGATGCTCGTTAAGTCGTTATGTAGTAGCTAGGTCTTGTGTATTGAGCTGGTCTCCGAGTCCCTGGTCCCTAAGTGAGTCATGATTGATCTATTGGTAACTGGGAACACAACAGCTTAGCCGCCAGGCCTGCAGCAGTCTCTCCCCGCCCCACCCCAGGACAGACACAGTGAGTCCCACAAGCAAACCATGGCACGTTTTGCTTCTCCGCAGCTTGAGGGGCAGTTCCCCCAAAACCCCTGCACTGATCTTCTTAAAACTTGGCAGGCTTTGTGGCCTCAGTAAGAGCAGCTACCACCCCTTTAGTTTTCACCCCCCCAATGTTGTAACATCTAGATGTGACATGAGTTCTGCTTTCAAGAATTTGGGGTGCCATTCCCCCCAAACCCCTGCACCCATCTTCTTGAAACTTGGCAGGCTTCATTCTCTCTGCAGAGTCTACCACCCCTGAAAATTTAATCCAAATCAGACAAAAACAACAACGTTATATTTTATTGTTTCCCCCTTATACCCTATGGCTGGATCTCCGAGGCGGCTCCGAACCACTTCAAGCAGCCTAACAAGGCCAGCGCTTCTACCCGGATGTGCTGCTTCGGACCCCGAAGCGTCCGAAGCTTCTCCAGATCTGAAACCTCGCACAGTCCTACTGAATATATACATGTTAGTCAGAACTAGCAGCTTTAAACTTGGGAGGAAGTTTATTTCTCAGAACAACAAAATTGAAGGACTGTAGGGTACTGTCTTAGAGAGCAATGGGACAATATGCAATTAGTTTTGAAATAATGAAATTTAGCTTTCCCACGGTTGCAACATATCCTAAGGAATGTGTTAGTGTGCGTTTACAGCTTGTTGGGATGTTCAGAATTATCTAGATGTTCTTATTTTCTCAGAAAGTTTCCACATGATAGATATTTTTGCAGTCAGACAAAGCCAAAAACAATATATGATGAATTTATTATCAGGTCCATAAAGGAACTTGAGAAGTAGAGGCAAGAGGCATGACATTAATCCCAATATAATGGGCCAAATTTATCCCCGGCTGAAGTTTCATTGGCATTATACCGGTGATCAGTTGGGCTCAAGATTAAACTAAGTACAAACACTTGCTGTGGGGAAAGACTGTGGAGTTGGGTTGGGTTATTTTACTTCCTGGCCAGCATGTCCCATGCCCCTACCCTGTGAATAACCTACAGAGGATGTGGATGTCAGAGTTGTCAACCAAAGAGTCTGGCTCCTGTGCTCAAAATGCAAAGCCTTGTGCTTTTAAGTTTTGGAAGTCTCCAATTCAATTTCTATTCTGGACTGTTACAGATCCCCCTAACCTTCAGCTTTAAGGAAAACAACTGTTACCCTCAAGGTGAGTGCTTATCATACCAAACTAAATCTGGATGTGTTTTAGCTTGGGTCTTTTGTTTTTTCTTTCACATTTATAAAGAGGTCCTTGATTTCTTTAGCAGAAAGACTGCACCCAAAGAAAGCAACTATTTGGAGAAACAATTAAGGGTCAGAGCTGGGTACTTACTAGCTGACGTGTTAATTAATAAACCAGATTGACCACTGCAGGTTGACAGACCTTGTTAAATTGCCCTTTGTCTCGCAGCTCCCTTCCAAGGCCTCAATAACTATGTTAATGATGTAAGTCTCCATCTCTCACAATTTCAGCAGACCTCCTCACTGAACAGAAAATAAATCACATCCACAGATGACCAAATCAGTGGAAAAACCGAGATTTCCTGGCTCCCTATCCTGGGCTTTAAGCCATAAGACTATGCTCCATCTCTGAACTAACTCAGTTTTTAAGGCTTGGTCCTACAAATTGCTGACAGAGCCCTTTGCAAGGGTAGAGTCTTGCTAATCAGAGAGACAGACAAATGCACTAGGCCAGGAGCAAATACAGAGCTATTTCCCTTCAGGATTAGGTTGCACCATTACTCTTTAGAGAATTCAATAGTTGAAACTAATACACCATTTTCCACCCCAAAAAGCCCTGCCATGAGCTCTGCAGAGCTTGCTGGCTGCCAGCAAGGATTCCTTTTTAATGTTGCTGGATCAGACAAACAATAGATCAGCTCAAACGTGACCAGAAGTAGCAGCCTCCTTGCTCTACACAAATATCACCTTTTCATCTCATTTCTGGCAGAAGAAAAAAAAAAGAGAACAACTTGAACAGTGAACTTGAGTTCTTTGGGTCTTTGTGTTAATGGTGCCAGTACTGCTCCATTTGGCTTGTATGAAATGGGTTATACATTCAAAGAGGAGGAATAACTGGCACTCTGACTGTAACCAGAAGCTATATTTTCATGGCTATTTCATAGCAGGGATTGTCAAGTAGTTACTATTTACTGGCTCAGAATGGTACCACATTAACGGTGCATGCTGAGATTTTTATTCAGTTCCATATAAATCAAGTTCCTCAAGTACAATGCTCCAGCGGAATGGAAGGAAGTACTACATATAGTACCTTTCCACCATCTCACTTGTATGTAAAAGGTTCAAGTCATCTTCTCTGACCCAATGAAAGACACAGTACTCCCATACAGAGCCTGACAGCACCAAGAAAGTTAGAGGAAGGTTTCATCATTAACTTGAATAGGAGCGACAGCAGGGCCATATACTTCTTGCTACTCGGAGGCACATGAAGCTGCAACCTGCAGTCTAATGAAGCCAGTTTCATAATAGGGGGAAGATTAGGCCCTTATGGCACATAAAAACCATGTTGATCCTCAATTGTTCCTGGCCTGCATTGGGACTAAGAGCCTACTTGAGTAATTGGCTTTAAAGGGCACAATTGGCTGGAGTAAGCACTACTCCAGGGTTTTCAAGATGGCAAAATATACCCACACACCAAGACATCAGTTTATCGGTAAGAAGTGAACTGGTAACACTGAACAGCAATGGCAAAGCCCTTGCCACTTCAGCTAGAGGCTTAACTTGACTGAGAGTTAACAGTTATACCAATTGCTAGCAAAATGCTAGAAAGGGCCATCTATTTGCAACAGATCACCAAGCCCATTACATGACCGAGATTCTCATGATTACTTCAAACCCTGACAAGGCTCTTTAAGTATTTGTGCAATTGTGGAAGTGCCACTAGGTAGGGAAACAGTGTCTTGTTGGACTAGAAAATCCAACTCTTCCTTTCACTTTTCTAAAATGATGAGAGCAGAAACATGTAATCGATTTATGAACCAAGGTTTCTAGGTCCCTGGACAGTTCTAGAGAATCTTCAAATTGTTCATAAACAGCAAACTGATAATCCAGAAGATACCAACATCAAAATCCCTGGCGTTCAAATTCATTTGAGTTGAACAATATAAATGGTCTAACACATTCTGCTACAGCAGAACAGTCTTCTCAAGGATGACGACTTGAAGGCTACACAAGAGTTCTTGAATGTTCCCTTTTTAATCTCAGTACCACTGCACACTCTCCACAGAAAAGTCCCTCTGCAAAGGCATCTGAGAAGTGTACAAATAGAAGGAAATTGTATGAGCCATACTTGATGCTCTACCTGAAACAATACAAAGCATATGCCATTAGGCACCAGCAACTCATGGAAATTCCCTACCTCCAGGTAATGTAGAAACAGGTATTCTGCAGATATCACCCCTGCTGCGGCTTTAATCCAAACTATAGTATGAGGTCAAGAATGGACAGGGCTTCCGAAAGCAGCACTTCCCCAAGACATTACATGCCATTCATACAGGTTCTAATTACAGCTTCACAGGAAGCCAAATGAAAACTGTTGAAACTGCAGAGATTTTCTTAGCCCTTTGCCAACTGCACGAGACAAGCAAACTCATAATTTGGGATCTCTCCCTAGATAATTCTCATTTGAAGCACTTACCTGTGTATATGCAGACTCTCTCTGCCACATGCCTGCAATTTATCTCCAAACAGATTTTTTTTTGATTGGATTCCTTTTTTAAATGAAGCTATCTAAAATGACTGCCTGGTTAACAAAAAGCTGAACCAGTTTCTGGCTGAAAACAGTTATTTAAGTGATATAAATCCCTTGCTACTGAAACACTTGCAGTCACTATCTCCTACAGGGGCCAGTCTACATCCCACTGAAGTCAATGGTACAACCTATGCTCAAGACAAGACTTAAAACTACAGTTCAGTACAGGATTGGTGCCCTGGTTTTGCAACAAATTCCAAGTCCACCCTCATACACCAGTCAATAGGTGATGTCTCAGATGTCTTTAGAGAGATATCACCTAAACTGTTGCATAACCATTTTCTGGATGAGAGTGATATTCATACACATCAAGGGAAAAGCCAACATATGTTAGCAAGTAGCAGCAGGAGGTTTTCATTTGCAACCGCAACCATTCAGTTGCACTGGCGCTATCCAGTTAGCATGGGATTTTCATAAAATCAGTTGAGACAGAAAACAGTGGCTGGCTGCTAGTAGGTGTGGCTGCCAGTGGTGAGTTGATACCTGCTTTGGGAACGCAGCATCTCATCAGTCTCCTGCACGATAAGCAAGGCTCAAGTGCTAGTAACACTTGAAAAAAGTATAAGATTAATTCATTATAACACCACTCATTCATAGGGAAGAACTGGCAAGTACGAGGTGCAGGGAAAGTATGGGGGAGCCTCTCATACTTCAGCTGGAACAAAGTAACAAATTGCCATCATAATGACTTGCGGCCCAAGCGCCATCCTACACACCACAAGATTTGGCTTGACAATAAAAAACAATGATTTTGTGAAATAATTACCCAGGGCTTCCTGGTCTCTCCCTCCACATTCAGATTGTGGGGTGATATAAGAAAAACCTCACAGACTTGCTGAAAGATTCACAGCAGGGGACAGAACTCAAGAAACAATACAGACCACATTGCTGCAAAAGATGAATAGGGAGGATAAATGTATTTACACATAGCAACATTTTAATGACTAAGAAACAAACATCATCTTAATCCTGGGAATTTACTGTACTTGGTGTCATTAAATAATCTAAATATGAAGAGTGAAACTCACCTGGCAAAAACATGCTAACTAGATTTTGACAGAGCTATAAGTCTGGCCACACAACCCAGGGAATGGACAGATGTACAGCGATAACACTGCAAGAGACATATGGGAACTTGCCTCTCAGAAGGGCAGATCACCTGGTCAGTGGTCCACCCTGCACTAAATGGAGCTAAGCCACAGTAATTTGCCCCTGAATGAAATCAGGGTTCAGCTTTTGGTAACTGGTTCCCCACTTTTCTTACATCAGTGTTTTGCCTGCCCACATCTTCAACATTAACCCACTACTATTAGTTCTATCACTCAAGTGAATTCTAGAGGCCGATGAATTCCAGCAGGTCCCTGTTATACACTGCAATAGTGCCACCTTCATATCATTAAAAAGCCAGAGAAAAGGGTTGGAAAGCACAAAGATATCAAAACACACTCAAATGGAATAAGGGAATGCAGGGGTGACCACCAGCATCTCGGGGAACGTTTGTTCACCAGAGCGCCCCAAGGGATGACGAGGTCGAATGGTCACAAACTACTTCAAGATCGTTTCAGGCTGGACATAAGGAAGAACTTCTTTACTGTCCGAGCCCCCAAGGTCTGGAACAGCCTGCCACCGGAGGTGGTTCAAGCGCCTTCATTGAACACCTTCAAGATGAAACTGGATGCTTATCTTGCTGGGATCCTATGACCCCAGCTGACTTCCTGCCCTTTGGGCGGGGGGCTGGACTCGATGATCTTCCGAGGTCCCTTCCAGCCCTGATGTCTATGAAATCTATGAAAGGGGAAAAGAATGGCTGCAAACTCACACACCTGCTTCTCCCACTGAAATCACTTGCGTTCAATCCCAACCATAGCTCTTGTTCGATTTTTCAATCTACCTCAAAACTAGGTAGAAACAATTTATGTCCAGGGATCCAGACAGATTCAGCCTCTGCCCTGTCTCAACTGCATTTTATTTTGGCAACAGGTTTTAATTTCTCTCTTCCCCCACTACTTTTCAGCAATAATGGAGAAAGATGAATGGAGCACACTATCTTCCTGGTTGCAGCACGACTGAATTTCTCAGGCTCCTGGCCAAAGTAGACTCTTGGCTGTTGTTCACATCTTAGGAACTAAATGGATTATGATCTTAATAGGAAAGCCTCCAGGAACAGATGTAACACCTGGATGTGAATTAAGGGTAGGATACAAAGCAATTAAACAGACATGAATTTCCAAATCTAATCTTACTCCCTTACTTTTTTTTTTAGCTTTAGAAAGTCGAGCGGACTTGCGATAAATCAAACTCTAGGACCAATCATCTGCCTCCATTCCCAATTCTCTCAAAAGAAGCAGCAGCAACTAGAACCTCAAAAGTTACAGTTCTGCTTCATCAAGAGAAAATAATATGCTCTTGAAGGAAAGGAGAGCTTATAAAAGAACAACACAGTAAAAGCCACAACTATGCAGGACTCGTAGCAAGAGAACACATGTGCATGTAGACACTCTGTGCACCAGGAAGCGGGGAACCCTAGCAAATATCTAAGTCAACTAAACAGGGAAAATCCCTGCCATAGCACAGATTTAGCCGGCATTCACAAGGCAGAAATGGCAGCTTTATGTATTACCTTGGCAAGCTTTTGGGCACAGTCACCCTTCTTCAGGCCCTTTCTTGCCAAGAATATTTTTCCAACTATTTAGTTGGTCTAATAAAAGATATCACGTCTACCCAAAGAACTTTACCTGCCTATGTCCTTAGACCAACACGGCTACAACTCATAACCCAGCAGCTTTATGTATTGGAATGAACATGCTTTCTGGATTTCCATTATTCAGATATTAACTCTGATGTCACCTTTTGGCTCCATTCTGCTTTCTATATAACACAGAACTTCCATTAATGTTAATTCCACTTGGCTTCTCAGGATCTCCATTATGAGCCCAAGTGCTATTGAAATTCACTCAGAGTTGAACACCTCATTCTCTGAAAGCTCTTCTGAAATGCCCACCTTATCAGCTCCTCCACAAAATGGGAATCTACTCATTTCAGGGAGGAAAAGGAACCCAGGCATCATATATAGGGTGATGTGCAAGACATTTTAGCTTCTGGATGCAAGATATGGAATACTTCCATATTTCATTCAATGTCGCACTCTCCAAAATCCACTAGTTTTCTGTCTGGGCTGCGATCCAAGTTTGATTTAATACTTTCCATATTTATTCTACCATTAACTTTTACAGACAGTGTATGTACAGGAAGGTATCTACAACCTCAAATACTAGATCAAATTCATCCCAGGTGTAATCTTATTGATTTCAAAGGGCTTATACAGAGCCTCAAATTCACCCACTATGCTGTATATTTACACACATTCACAGGATATACTGCCTCTACCCACACATCCCTATTTATTTTTATTGTCAAGATTTGGCTTGACAATAAAAAACAAGTATTTCAGACTTCTATACAGTAGAATCATTCATCCCAAAGTGCTTTACAAACACGCAGCTCTGTGAACTGTGCAATTATTCCATTTACCACAAAAGAGCAACCATTTCTAGGGTGGAATGTGGCAGCTGTTTAAATGACAGTGTCACTAGATGATGGTTTAGGACAGAAAATGAAACTGGAATGTAGACACAGGAAGAAGGAAAGACACCCTGAAGGTTAACATCTTGCAAAAATATTCAGGCAACTTTGACCACAAGGATTTGATGGACAATTTTATTCATAGGGCAAAAGAAAGCACTTCCAGCTCTCTGTGGTAGCATTGCTCCCCAAGAGGAAAAATATACACTAAAATGCCTTTTGGTAACACATGGATTTCCTTGAGGTCTCATATCTTAACACTGACCTGAACTGAACCTGTTTAGCTTGTGAGATTTTGACCACAGCATGGGGTTGGAAACTGCCTTTGTAAAATTCTCTTCTTTTGGCTGGCAATTATGTGATAATGACTGAAAGGGTCAGTGTTATAGCTGACTCCATGCAATCACATCCTTATCTTCTCAAAAGTAAGAACTGCCTCAAATATTAAGCCTAATGCTGAAAAACCTACCACCTTTATTGTGCACATGGAAAGCACACAAGAACCATTCAGAAAGCTCATATGAGATTCATTTATGCGGTGGTGACCAACAATCTTATTAAGTCAAGTGATGTAATTGCAGTCTGATTTCTACTAGTACAGTAGCTCTTGCTAACATTTGCATTGTACATTTTGCAGCAGAACTAGAGCTTGCAGGTGGAAGAGTCTATGTGGGTGGTATAATATGGAAAGCCTAAAGCAAAGTACTTTCAGTCTCTATCAAGCAGACATTTGAAAACAGTGCAGCATCCTCTTGATGAACTGATTGCTGACTGGGAGGTTAATTGCTTTTTCCCCTCTATACTCGCAGATAATCAAGGAGTGTTTTCCTAATCTAAGCGCACCTTTCTGAAGCCCTTGGTCTCAAGTTCCCCTCCAGAGCTGCAGACAGTGACACCTGTTTGAGACTGAGGAGTTGTTCAGTCTGAAAAAAGAAGAAAAGCACTCTGCTTCTCTAACATCCTCAGAGTCCACAAGAGAGCTGCAATGATTTCACAAAGAGCCTGTCTCAAGTTGTAATGCTGCAGACTCATACTCCCAGACCAATGGCACATCTGGTATCCTACCCAAGTAGCCTGCACATCTCGATCTCATGATAATCACAAGCTGAAAGTCATTCTGCTGCTGCTGAAAGTCATATGTGAGCTCAAGGTAAGATGGTTTAAAGATCCTCTAAGACAGAATTTCTATTCAATGTAAGGTCTTTCTGCAAAGAACAGAGTGTAACTTTGAATTCACCAGAATTTTAGGACACCCAGAGAAAGAAGCTGCCCTGTATGAAAAAAATCAGCTTTTTATTTGTCATACCATTTACAGATAGGGAGCATCTGCTTTGATAGTTTCTCCTGAGAGGCATGTATTCAGGCAAGAGAATTCAAACTACTTCTGAAGTGTTAGATTGGGAAGATTTACATGCCTTGTTACCCGCGATCTGGCTTCTTTTCTAAATCAAGCCTGTGATAACAACATTGCACAATATACACTGCCTCAACTTGCAGGCAAATTAGCAACATGTCTCACCAACTTCATTAAGTTCTTTCCCAGTTCATTCTTATAAGCAAGGGGTGAAAAAACAAACAAATAACAACTTTAACCTAGCCAGAAACATCGCGGCAAAATAGAAAACTTCTGAAGCACTTATTTCCCCCCTAATCAAGTTTCCAAAGGACTGCAAGAAAGCTGCTTTTACCAGCTTCCCTCCTTCTCCTACTCCCTTCTCTAAATTTAGTCGCTGAATAACTGATGATGCAGAAATAAAAATGTCCCTCCCCCCCAAAAAAGTGACAAGCAAGTTCAACTTTCTGCCTTAAAGGAAGAGAGGGAGTTGGTTTAAGTTGCTTGCTAAATAAATCCCCATGCAAATCAGTCTGATGCTCCTCTATGGCCATAAGGCTGCACTGCAGTGTACAGGACTGCCCTTACCTCAAAGTTAGTGGTAGGATGATTTGGGGGTGACCTCTGTTCCTTTGCTCTTTGTACTGAAGTTCCTCTCCTGGGCTAAGAGTGCCTCTAAGTGGTCCCCTCCGCTTTATAAAATATCCTGCAGCCACAGAAATGAGCTGCAGAAACCCTGGTGCTGCTGCTTCCCCCCCGGCAAATTTCACTGGAGTTATCCACACAAACCCCTCCCAAGGCCCACCCCCTTCAACCTCAGCCACACCACCTCGGCTAACGGGTGATATCATGGGCTTTTGTTGTAATCCGAGAGCTGTGTCATTCCTGGAGCACTGCACTGGAAAAAGCTAGTGGGATTTGCAAGCAAGGAGGTGAGCAGGGAAAGTGAACTTCTTCCCAGGAGGCCCCTAAACAAGAAAGCATTTGGGATCTCTTCACTGTGTGTTATTCCTCTTAATATCTATTTTGCAATAGTGCCTAACAACACCAATCAGATTGAAGGGGTCCTGCTGGTGAGCGTTGCACCAACACACGGAAACAAGGTCTTCTAACATGGGATCTTTTTATAATTGCCTCCATTTCTAGGGCTTTTGCATACTTTTGCAGTTTTCCTTCTCCAAGGCTGTTTTTTCTAGGTTTCATCTCCCCTTTAACCCCTTTGGCATTATATTCATCCTCTCCCTGAAACCTACATACTGTTTTTCCCTACTTGGTACCCTAATTTAAGTCAAAAAAGGACAGCTGAGCCTCAGAAGTATTCAAGTATATCCAAAGTCTAGATATACACCACAGGCTACCCCAGCAATTGGCCAACTTCCATTTTATCTATACCTCTTTTTCATCAACACACTGACAGGAACTACAAAGATTTAATTCATAACGAACCCCAGACTCACACTCTGGATGCAAACATACCTGACATTAGGGGTGTTTGAAATAGGAATGCAACCGGGGGGGGGGAAAGAAGAGGGGAAAAAGATATGCAAAGGGTCAGGTCAGATGTGAATGGACCCTAACCCTGGGGGACACA